CCAGCAGTTAGCGTAATGGCTATGTCGCTGGACTCCCATGTAGTTGACAGCAGTTTCAGTCCCGGACCCAGTGGCTTAAACTCACGCCAGGTGTGTGTGCGTGCGTACCCAAGATCTCCAGAAGAGAATGGAGGAGAAGGGATTGCGGCGTGGCCATCCCCCTTGGGTGATTTCTCACTTTCTGTCTCTCTGCCTGTCTCTGTCTTTCTGGCAAGCGCACGTGCCCTATAGCAAAACCCTCTCCCCCCCAAAAATTAAGAGTATTGTATATAAATGCTTAGCAAAGTACGTGGCCATCAGTAGTTTCTCCTTAAATTATAAGCAGTCCTTTACTCTCAACTTGATCATTCTCTTTAGGCCTTTTTTTGAGGCCATGAGATGGGGATGACAATACTACCCAACTCCCAGTGATAAGGTGAGGGTTAATTCAGATTTATTACATTTAAATCTGCTTAACATGGTGCTAAATGTGTTTCCTTTAAATATGTATATTAAGTATGTAGACACACTTTCTTAAAAGTTCTCTCTATGTATACACACATATAAACCCACACACACATACACACACACATATATGCACACCTTACATATATACTTACGTACTTGGTAGTTTTCGTTTATTTGACACATGAAAGCAGTTCTGTTAGGTAGTAGAAGAGAAGTGGTCAGTGCAGGATTGTCTCCACGAGGGAAATGAGCTTGAAGAGCCTGGGTCTGCAAGCCCTATCTCAGGACATGGCAGCATTCGGTGGTTCCAGCATGCTGTCAGAGCCGAGGTCACAGGGTCTCTGAGACACGCATGGTGCTTGTGTTCCTCCCTGCAGCAGAGCATAGCTGCCGCAGGACTGGAGGTTTGGTGGAGCAGGTCTGTTAGGATGGCTTGTTCCATCTTAGATCACCGTCCTTTGCAGAATATAGTGATCATTCCACACCACGAATGGATTTCAGGTTGTGGTCACATGGTTCTGATGGCAAAAGTAAGAATGTGGATCTGTAGGAAAAAGAATGCACAGAACTTTGAAGTCATAAATGAGCGACCTTTTCCGTCATGATGGTTAAATCACAATTTTTCCTTTTGAATTTTGCAACTAACATGAATTTTGTTTTGATGGATGAAATACAGCATTTGATTATACCTTCCACCTATGAATAGTGTTTGAAAATTTCAGTGCTTAATCTTCAAATTAATTCAGTCATAGTGCATTTTCCTCCAAGTGTGATAGGTAATCTACATGACTCTTGTAAACCTGCACCCAGTGACGACAAGTGTATCCATCGGAGCAGCACAGCATCTCTTCGCTTTGTATAAATACCTGCCTTGGTCTATCTCTGATGCCTTTATTTTTGTGTCCAATAAGAAACCTCCTTATAATGTGAAAACTTAGTTTTAAGATTTGCACTAATTTTTTGTTTTCTAGAATACAGTCAACTGAACGGTAAACAAGATGATTCTAGAACTAGAGCTTTTTATTTAATTTAATAGATTAGTAATTCAGTTCTGGTTAGTCAGTTCGGTGCTAGTTTGTGTAAGGAGTGCATGTGCACATCACGATGTCAATTTTTATCAACTTAAAGATCTCCCATACTTGGGAACCAGCAGTTAGCGTAATGACTATGTCGCTGGACTCCCATGTAGTCGACCGCAGTTCGCGTCCCGGACCTGATGGCTTAAAACTCACGCCAGGTGCGTGTGCGTGCGTGCCCAAGATCCTGAGAGGATAATGGAGGAGAAGGGATTGTGGCGTGACCATCCCCCCTGGGGGGGGTTTTCTTGCTTTCTGTCTCTATGTGTCTCTCTGTCTGTCTGGCGAGCGTATGCGCCCTATAGTGAAAACCCCTCCAGAAAAAAAAAAAAAAAAGATCTCCCATACTATGTCCTTTACCATCTCTGTAAGGAAGAATGCTTTGGCATAAAATGGTCATATTAGAGAATTTCCTTGGCAACCACAGCTGAATTTCCAGATTGTTTGGACTGGCCATTTGAGATTTGTCATCATGAATTTAAAATCAGGTTTAGATCAGCCATGTTACTCTGCAGTAACACACTTGCAATGCTGAAACCATATCAGAAGGTGTCGGGTTTGTGTCCCAGGGTCTCCCCGTATATGCCCAGTGTGTGTGCACGTGGTCCTGGCTAGCTGAGGCTGGGGTTCTATTGCAGCAAAAAGACCCTGTGGGTAGTAACCCCCACCTTCCCTTCTTTCATGAAAAAAAAGTAAAGAAACTTTAAAAAATTGGTGTTTATATTATACAAACCACTTGGCAGTAAGTTGGAGAAGTGGGTGGCTGATTGGGCTCATCATCTGTTGGTTTTACCAGACAATTAAAGAGAGGGCTAACAGGAGGGTGGGAGGTTAGGGGTTTTTGCAAAGAAGGTCCTAATGAGGAGCCATTGAAGATAAAGTAGGCAGAAGCCAACAGGTGGCATGCTAGTTGGGGTGTTGGACTCCCACATGGCCAACAGCATTTCAAGTCCTGGACCTGGCACCTTGAAAATCATGCTGGTTTCATGTGCGCACATGCCCAAAATCCCAAGAAGAGAATGGAGGAAAAGAGACTGTGGTTCGGTCATCCCTCCAGGAAGGTGATGTCTCACTTTCCCTCTCTCTCAGCTCAGGGCACATAGACAAAGAGTGGTGTGAAGCAAGAGGTGAATTAGCTGGGAAAGGCAGCAAGCCAGTGAAAGTGACCAGGAAATAGTAATTGAAGAGCAGGATGTTTCACATTTTTTCTGAGTCAACATACTTTTTCAATAAAGGGCCAGAGAGTACACATTTTATGCCTTGCAGGCCAAAAGACAAAATTGTGAGGATATTGTGAAAGTACTTACATACTAACAAGAGAGAAGGCAAATTTTCACATGGCCAGCCGTGGTTTGAATCCACTTCCATGGTGGCTTGACATCCCTCATCATAAGGGAGATATAAATCAAAACCACAATGAGGTATTACCTAACCCAATCAGAATGGCTAAGATTAAAAAAAAAAAGGTAAGTGCTGACAAGGCTGTGGTGAAAAGGGAACTATCCTGCACTGTTGGTGGGAATGTAAATTAGTACAGCCACTATAGAGAACAATCTGGGGGTTCCTTAAATATCTCTAAATAGAACTGTCATATGATCCAGCAAGTCCACTTCTGGGGATCTACCCAAAGGACAGGAGAATGCTTGGTGGGAAAGGTGCTTCTCTGTTTATTGCAGCATTATTCACAATTGCCAGGACCTGGAACCAGCACGAACAGATGAATGGTTTGAAAAAGTGTGACACATGTACTCTATGGAGTACTACTGATCCATAAAAAATAAGACCCAGGCTTTTGATAGAAAATGGACAAATATGGAAGATTTACTGCCGAGTGAAGCAGACCAGGCTAGGAGAGGCATTGTATGTCTCCACATAGTGTATACCAACTGGCCACACTCTGTGGAGGAAACGGAAAGATGAGAGGATATAGAATCCTGGAAAATGGTTACAGATACTGGAAACTGTGGGAAGAGGGAGGGAGAAGGGGGAGAGTGTGAGGAAAGGAATCAAGGAGAAAAATAGAGGCAAGACATGTATGGTGCACAGAAATGGATGATTATCTGTTTATGATAACATGTATGGTGTCTTCGACTGGACTGGTGTGAAGTGTACTCATGTTGGGTAAATTCACTTTATAAGCTGTACTGATGTATAGTGATCGAATATATAAAATAAAGTAAAATAGGGAACCAGCAGTTAGCATAATGGCTATGTCGCTGGACTCCCATGTAGTCGACTGCAGTTCGTGTCCCAGACCCGGTGGCTTAAAACTCACGCCGGGCGCGTGTGTGTGTGTGCCCAACATCCCGAGAGGAGAATGGAGGAGAAGGGATTGCGGCATGGCCATCCCCCCTGGGGGGTGATTTCTCGCTTTCTGTCTCTATGTCTCTGTCTGTCTGGCGAGCGCACGCACCCTACAGTGAAAATCTCTCCATAAATAAATAAATAAATAAACAAACAAATAAACAAAGAAAGAAAGAAAGAAAGAGAAAGAAAGAAAGAAAGAAAGAAAGAAAGAAAGAAAAATATAAAAAAATGAAAAAAAACACACTAGGCTCAATCTTGCCAGGATGGCAAAATGAAGGAGAGGGGAGTGCAGTGTGATGGCGCCCTATTGGGGGATACTTTCTCCCTTCTGTCTCTCTGGCAATTAAAAAAAAATCAATTGCAGATGTTGATCTCTTATTGTTTGCCTATAAGGGGATTGTACAAGACATATTTCATCTTGGAAAATACTTGCAAATACTGACATCGGTTCAGTTCCTTTTTAAAAGAAATTATATCTATTTTTATTATCATTTTACATTGACTAGAAAGAGGGGGGAGAGAGAGCCACCGTGTCCAGGACTCTAATTGCATCCGGCCATGCGGAGTCCAGTTCCTTAGCCATCACGCCACCTGTCGGCCCCACCCATCAGCTCTTTTAACTGAGCATATTTATTGCGTAGGAGGCATTTCTAGAATTCTGTTGGAATCGTATTCGACTTTAAGCGTGTTATTTCTTTGTAACTTAATCACTTAAAATTGGTAGGTGGAAGTACCTCAGCTGTACCATTGCATGGATTTTGAAGTGTATCGGTTTTCTTGACCCTCCTTGCAGCCCATGAAGTGTTTCTAGAGGTATCGATTGAGCTCAGAAAACATATCCACTGTGAATTTTCATGGCAATGGGCAGTTCCTTCCTATTTTCACAGTTGGTAGCATCAAATTGTTACAAAGCAACTTAACATTATTATGATGCAGACTGTGTTAGTTTCTTAATGTCCCATTTAAATGACCAGAGTTAATCAGCTTTTCTTAGTAGGAGACTGATTTATTTCTTCAATTTTGGTATTACTAATTTTCATATATCTATCATAATATGTATACATTGTAAATATAGTATATAAAAGTTATTCAGTAAACATTTATCGAATGAATACATCTAAAATGTATTACTTTAACTCCATATTGTTGTTTTCATTCTTTGTGTTGTAGGTGAAGAGTGATTACATGTTAGAGATAGCTGACCAAGTGGACCAGGAAATTGCTTTGAAGTTGGGTTGTCTAGAAATTCGGTAAGGTGATCATTATTCATTAAGATTTCATTAAGATTATTCATCAGTGTTTTTGATTACTTTTGAAAAACTTCCGTGTACTTTTCCTTTTCCTCATAAAGATTATCAGCACAATATTGAATAAAGTTCAAGTAGAAATGTGGACATTTTGAGTGATTTCTTACTTAGGTGTCTCTCCCAGATTTTATCATTAAAACAGCACTGTTCCATATGTGTACGTGTAAGTGTGCGCCTTTTCTGATTTCAGGCGCTCCTACTGGGAGATGCGTGGCAACGCGCTGGAGAAGAAGTCCAACTATGAAGTATTAGAGTAAGTGTTGACACCACACTATGCTCACGCATGCTCTGAGCTGCTTTTCAGTTTATCTCTACTTCAGATTAAACACTGAACGGTTTCTGCAGCATCTGTGTCCGGGCGAAGGAAAGTTTGAAGAGAGCTCTTGGTGATATTTAATTGATTAACAAACATTTAGATTTGTTGATGACTGCTGTGAGGCTGATAATGTGTATGGCCTGCTAACACATGTGTCATAGACTTTGTCTCCATCACCTTAATCACGGGATGACGTTGCACTCTAACCTACATTAAACTCTAGAATTGCCTATAAACTGCTTATAAGGTATTATTCATATTCTCTGTGTATGTTTACTAAGGATTTTTCACCAATGGAGATACAGAAGTTAATTGTTGTTCATGTATCAGGAAATTTATCATTGAAGGGCATTCCAATAATAAATAAATTCATGTCTTAGAGTGCTATATTGGATTGTATTAAATATATGAGAGTCTAACTGGAATGCATATCCTGAGACTAGAATTTTTCACTTTGTCTTTAAGATAACTAATTTAGCAAAAAATCATCAGTTTGTTGTATCTTTAGAAAGGCCAGTTTTATTTTCATCAGCAGCAATGCAACATTTTGTGAACATATTTTTGGCTGTATTATTACTGAAATTTTTGCAGTAATTTGGGAGGTGTGATAAGATAAAGTGACAGGTTAAGCTACCTTGTTATAATAAAGACTTCACATGGCTTTAGATTTTATTTGGACTTTGTCGGTCAGCCCTACTACTGTCACACTGAGCAATATTTCATCATATTATGAAAACAAGATTTTGTAAGGGTAACATGATCATGTAAAAATAAAAATAGAGGGATCAGCAGGTGGCATCATGGTTGGAGCTCTGGACTCCCATATGGCCAGCCATTGTTCCAGCCCCCGACCTGGTGGCTTGCTTTCTCACTTTCTCTGTCTTTCTTGTGAGCACATGTTCTCTATAGCAAATTAAGAAATAATGACATTGATGGAACGAGCAGATGGCATAATAATTACATTGTTGTACTCCCACATGGTGGTTCGAGTCCCAGACCTGATGGCTTAAAACTCATGCTGGGTGCGTGTGCATGCATGCCCAAAATCTCAAGAGTAGAATGGAAGAGAAGGGATTGCGGTATGGCCTTCCCTCCCTGGGGATGGTTTCTCACTGTCTGTCTGTCTGTCTGTATGTCTGTCTCTCTGTCTCTCTGGCGAACACACATATCTTCAAAAATCTCTCTCTCAAAGAAAAAGAAATAATAACAATGATAAGTAAAGTTAAATAAAATAATTATTTTTTAAAACAGAATTAAATATATTTGGGAGACAGTTTAAAAGGAGATTGAACCGTCTGACAAAATCTGATCCTAATAGTTAAGACCGTTACTTTGATAATTACATGAGCCTTCTCTGGACCAAGTTGCAATGAGTGAATGAGCGTGTCCCAGGGAGTCCAACTTGTTATTGTACATAAAAAGTTAGTTTTCCACTTCTGAGTGTACACGTGACTCTGGTGTGGGTAGTGATAGTGCATGCGTGTAGACGCTCAGTGTTTATGATTCTGTGCTTACAAGGTATCCGTCACCTTTGTTGTACCTCTTAACTAAGTAAGGACAAAATAAGTGAATTATAGTCAAATATAAAATGTTAGAGATCTACTATGATATCGACTGGACAGAATTATTTTAAGTCATTTTCCCTGCCCTTCAGTTACTGGTGTAGAAGTCATGATACTGTCAATAACATTTAAACAGTTTAAACTACTGTACACTGTGGCTTAGGTCTTTTTATTTAAATTTGCGACATTCTAAAGTAATACTCTTCTTAGTGCTGAAAACACAAATTAACAGAGTCGGAGTGCTTTTAAGGTCTTAATTTAGATAAATACTATTTTGTCCTTAATAAAAAGGAGGTTCAGAAAAAATACAGATATATTTTTCCCCATTCAGCTATTTAACTGATTTATCTGTTTTATTTTCCATTTGTTTATTCCTTTAACAATCATTATGGAGTACCAACTGAGTCTTGGGTAGCTAAGTGCTAGGGACTCAGAAATTAATAACAGAAAATTTCATCCTTGGCCAAAAGGTAGACTTCAGACAAGAAAGCAGAGTTCTGAAACAATGTGCTAGAGACCAAAGTAGAAGTACCGCGTGCTGTTGGCAGGAGGAACACACTGGGCGCATGAGGCGGTTTCACAGGGACTTGGCTAGCCTGAGCCGTAAGTGACTCACAGACAGTCGGGGGTTAGGGATCCTTGCATTGAAGCCAGTCGGGGAAGAAAACCCAGCATTTGCAAAAGCACAGAAACAGGAATAGTCAAAGAGAGCTCAGAAAGCTGCAAGTTCAGTGCATTTGGAGCATCATTCTATGAGGCAGGGAGAAAGCGGGTTATGTAGGGGCCAGGTCATTAAACACCTAACACATTCTTCCCAGAGATCTGGACTTGCTCCTGAAGCACTACTGACCCATTGAACTGTTTAAAGCAGGACAGAGGTTTAAGAGTTGTGATTTTTTTGTATTATTCATTTTATGTTCATAAGATTGATTGAAGATGGTTAAGAATGGAAGCAGGGAACTAGAAACCCTTACATCTTTCCATTCCATGTGAGAAGTAGTGCATTCATCTGCAATGCCTTCTTTCTAAAGTCTCACACTTTGGGGGCCCTGCTGCTGCAGTGATTCTTCCCACTTCCATAACCTGGGTGAGCTCTCTGTCTTCTCTGTGTGAGAACGAATGAGTCATGTGGGCTCTTGGATCAGACGTGGATTCCAGTCTACCATTGCTCTTTCACTTGCTAACCCTGGATCGCTGGAGCTCATGGCGTTCCTTTCCACATCTGTAAAATGGGAATAATGCTGACATTTCTTATGTATTGAGTTGCTGTAGGAAATTGAGATTATCCATGTTGGGGGCTTCAGAAGGCACCCAGCATTGAGAAAAACCTGCTCATCGTCGGCATTACCCAGAGGAAAGATTGATTGTCAATCAGGATGAAAACTAAACTATGTAGAGATGTTTCAGAGCACTCCTAAAAGTTAAGGTTCAGCTACTGACTTGATTTTGAGCCCTTTTAAAATGGTTTTTGGGACCAGTAGATAGCGTAATGGTTATGTCACTGGACTTCTACATAGTGAACTACGGTTCAAGCCCCGGACCCAGTGGCTTAAAACTCATATTAGTCTTGTGTGTGTGTACACGCGTGTGCCCAAAATCCCAAGAGGTGAATGGAGGAGAAGGGGTTGTGGTGTGGCCATCCCCACGGGGGGGAGGAGGGGCAATTTCTCTCTTTCTGTCTTTCTCTGTCTCTCTGGTAGCGCACACACTCTATAGCAAAAATCTTTCCAAAAATAAATAAATAAATGTCTTTTATTGTTTACAAGGTAATACATAATATATTCTAGTTAGAGAAAACTGAAATTACATTGTCAAGTAGGAAAGTCTTCAAATCCCTTCACTTGCTGATAACCACCTTTATAATTTTAGTAATTATTTTTACAGACCCATATTGGTACACATACAATACATCGTTTAAGTGGAATGCTATTGTCTGTACATCCTGCTTTTTAAATTCAGCCCTGTGTTGAAGATACTGTTCCACATGACTAAATAGAAATACCCGTTAGCACTCTGGTCCACCAGAGGAGTTTACCAACTACCTAGTGGTCGACGTTCAGGTTAATACTGTTATGTGATATGTTGCCATTTTGTTGTTGTTCATTTTTGCCTGTATGATAGGCAGCAAATGATAGCTTATTTTATTTACATGAGTTTGATTGCTCATATTATTAAACAACTTCTCTTAAATGACCATTTTGTATTCCTTTTATAAATTGACTGCATTTTCCCTTGTTTTGTCTAATATGCTTATGGTTTCTTTATTGATCTTAAGAAGTCTCATTCACATTAACCCTGTGTTGTTCCATGTATTCTTTCCCAGCTCCTCTTTGTCTTCCAACTATATCTATATGGCTTTCATCATACAGAAATTTTTCTTCTTGAAAATCTTTTATAATCTGTCAGTTTTTTTTTTCATTTTGTTTTTTGAGTTTCATGTCTTGATTAAAAAGGCATTCATTCTGTTGCTTAAGATTACTAAATCTTAAATGTGTTCTAAAGGTTTTCTGGATTCACCTCAGTTTTTTCATTACCAAATGTGTGGATTTTTTAAACAATATTATCTTCTAGCGTAATGGCATGATGATCAGAGTGTCATCTATATTGATAAGAATAGCAGAGATGTCTCAGTGGGCTAGTGTAAGACCATTTCCCCCAGTATTTAATTATGAAAAAGCGTCAGACATATAAAAAATTGGAAAGAATTGTAGATACCCACATACCTACTGCTTGGATTCTAGTTATTAACATTTTGTTATATGTACTTTATGTACTCTGTTTTTATCAATGTTCAGTGTGGTTTAAAACTACATTTTCTTTTAAAAATTTTTTTAAATTTATTATTATTATTACTGTTATCTTTTTAAATTTTACTAGAAAGATGCAGAGAGGGAGAAAGAGAAAGCAAGTCACCAGGTCCAGGACTCGAACCACAGTCCACCCTGTGGGAGTCCAGCACCTTAACCACTACGCCACCTGCTAGCCCCTAAAACTGCGTTTTCTAGTCAACCATGCTAATTGACTGTCTTTACTGGTATCTTGTCTGTTGGGATATCAATAATCGTGTTGAAATATTTCTCTATGAAAATGGCTTTGCCAGTTTGTTTCCACACATTTGCTAATTTTTGCTTCCTTTTTTTGAGGCCTTTTTAATTTGAATATACAAACAGAATGCATCTTTTTGGTACAGGTAATATTTTTTAGTGACCCTCTCTGTATCTAATAATAGATTTTTGTCATGATTGTGTGTGTGTGTGTGTGTTGTTGCTAATCTTAACCCAAAAACTCTGTTCTGTTATCTTTAATTTAGTGTTGGCCTGGATAATGTTTTCTGTTGTTCACTTTCAGTTTATCTTGATGCTTTTGGGTGTGTCT